TTTTAGGAAACCTCCATATGTTGAGATGATTATTGATTGAACATGGTTTCATAATATTTTATATTAGTATAGATAGTTTTCCAATGGGAAAACCAAAGGTTCCCGAATGTTCCCAGCCTACAAACATCTTCAAACTATTTCAAATTCGAACACCCAGGTTCAAACCAAGAGTGGTTCACATGATAGAATCGTTCGTTCACACAGGGAATCTTGGCCTAAAATCAGCTGCACAATTTTCGATGCTTCCAGCCAGGATCTCGATTGCGCTGTCTGGAATTGCCCAAGCGGTTACTCAACTGCGTGATAGTGTGACCCAAAACTTCCCTTCAACATGAGAATCACATCTAAGGCCTGCAAATCCATACCAGTGGTTGGTGCACTGAGCCTGCACAGCGACGGAAACACAGAATTTGTGAAAGGCACTTGGACATCCTGGAATATGTCGTCCAAGATTTGGAGAGGGACAAGGCAACCCCAGAAATTTCCAGATTTGGACCGGCATTCCATTCCCAGCCTTGGCTGTCCTGCAAGCTGTGCAAGAGTGGTGCACAAGCAGAAACAACCCATCACAAAGGTACGGGCCATTGTCAAGAATGCTGACAATCAGTCGCCACAAATTGGATGCCTGGGTCCCCAGAAAAGGTATATAACATCTTTTTGCGCAGTTGTTGCCTCTTCTTGGCACATAAAACTTTGTTGATCTTCGTCCAAACCAACTTCGCAAAGAATCAACTTGCATCGCTATCCCTCCACTCAGCCAGTCAAAGAGCGAAGACTGCACCATGATGATTCCCTTCTATATAATCGTTCTACTTTGTACAAGTCGATTCCCTCCTGCCTTTCTCACGTTCCTCTTGCAAGGGAAAGGGTGCCTGACACAACTTAGATTTAGATAGTAACAAAACAAAAAAAATCTGCATTTGGCAGCACACAGGACCTGCAAAGAAAATAGCATCTAAGGCACTATCACAGATACAAAACTGTTTTTTGTAGAATACGATTGCATAATGAGGGATGCCTTAAGGGGATACCCCCGTCAACATACCTCAGAATAATAAAAATATTATTCCGGCATCCGTTGAGTTCAAAACAAAAAATTACTTTACTTCGTGTGATCCCCACCATGACATTTATACATTTTGTTACTGGCAAATCTTCTGGCATTCTATCTGACATATTTTCTGGCATTCGATCTGGCATTCTATCTGGCATATCTTCTGGCATTCTACCTGGCATATCTTCTGGCAGATGTTCTGGCATATCTTCTGGCAGATGTTCTGGCATATCTTCTGGCAGATGTTCTGGCATATCTTCTGGCATATCTTCTGGCATATGTTCTGGCATATCTTCTGGCATATGTTCTGGCATATCTTCTGGCATATTATCTGGCAAATCTCTGGCATTCCATCTGGCATTCTATCTAGCATATCTTCTGGCATACTATCTGGCAAATCTGCTGGCATTCTATCTGGCAAACATTCTGGCACTTTATCTGGCATATCTTCTGGCATTCTAGCTGACATTCTATCTGGCATTCTATCTGGCATACCTTCTGGCATTCTATCTGGCATATCTTCTAACATTCTCTGGCATATCTTCTGGCACTCTATGTGGCATATCTTTTGGCGTGGATACTCGCGGTTGAGGTCCGGCAGGGAACACTGGGCGTGGATGGTCGTGGTTGAGGTCCGGCAGGGAACACTGGGCGTGGATGGTCGTGGTTGAGGTCCGGCAGGGAACACTGGGCGAGGATGGTCGTGGTTGAGGTCCGGCAGGGAACATTGGGCGCGGATGGTCGTGGTTGAGGTCCGGCAGGGAACACTGGGCGTGGATGGTCGTGGTTGAGGTCCGGCAGGGAACACTGGGCGTGGGTGGTCGTGGTTGAGGTCCGGCAGAGAACACTGTGGATCGCGGGTCGCAGTTGAGCAAGGACGACGAGGACGACGAGGAGGACGAGGAGGACGAGGAGGAGGAGGAGAGGAGGACGAGGCAGGACGAGGCGGAGGAGGAGGAGAAGGAGGAGGAGAAGGAGGAGGAGGAGGACGAGGAGGAGGACGAGGAGGAGGACGAGGAGGCAACTGACATAAAATCTAACAACCCTCACCTGGCAGGTGGGGAAATATTCTAAGAACTCAATGAGTCCATATGGAAAAATGGAATAATTTCCATCAAAATGATACCGGTATAGTCTATTTCTAGCCAAATGCAAGTGATCGTAAGCAGCTGCGCGCAAACGGCCGAAAACGGTTTCCCTTCTTGCAGAGCTGGGGCACAAATTTAAACAATTTTCAACATAATCAGATAGGATCAAGAAGAGTCAGAATAGTATCTTTAAACAAATTTCCTCTCAGCAACCCACTGGCTGAACATGGTTTTAGTTGGTTTTGGGTGTTTTTCCAGTTTCTGGGCTAGTTTGGTGGTTCTGGCCTTAGTGGGAATGAGTGGGAAAAGCAAAATATTTGGTTGTCACTGGTTAATTTTTTTTGCCAATTTCTGGATTTGTTTTGTGATTGTAGCAGCTGCCCCCTTTTGTTTTTCAGGGGTGCCAGGCATCTCCAATACCTCCAGAATAATTTCTCCCCTGTGGAAAGCCCGAAAAAAAAAAACAACTTGGCTCTCTTCTAGAGGTTTTCCCAACTTTGCGTACACCCCCCTATTTCTTCCATAATCCCTTCATTTATTTCCTTCCAAAAAAATCCCGTTGGCCATAATGGGAATGAGTGGGAAATGTTTGGGTTTCATTTGTTTTATGTTAGTTCTTGCCAGTTTCTGGGCTACTTTGGTGATTAGCTGACCATTTTCGTTTTTGAGGGGTACCAGGCATCTCCAATACCCCTAGAATAATTTTTTCCCTGGGGAAAGCCCGCAAAATGGCACTCAACCTGGCCCTCTCCTACAAGTTTTCCCAACTTTGCGTCCGCCCCCCTATTTCTTCCATATTCCCTTCATTTCCTTCCAAAAAACTCCCGTTGGCCATAGTGGGAATGGGTGGGAAATGTGTGGGTTTCATTTGTTTTTTGACAATTCTTGCCAATTTCTGGGCTAATTTGGTGATTAGCTGTTCACTTTCGTTTTTGAGGGGTACCAGGCATCTCCAATACCCCTAGAATAATCCCCCCTGGGGAAAGACCACACAATGGCACTCAACCTGGCCTTTTCCTAGGTATTTTCCTAACATTCCCTATTCACTGTCACCCAAAGAGCTCTCGAGAGAAAGTACCGTGAGAGAAAGGTGGTCCGGTGGACACCAGTTGTGCGTGCAAGTACGCTGCAAAAAAAGGTTGTCAGCAATTGCCCAAACTGCATGATGCCTTAAATAACTGCAATTGGCATTTCCAGCAAAAAGTTTTCAGGCAAACACCGCCAAGCTAGGAATGGCTTTTGGAAAGGCCAGGCCAAATGTAGGAAGTATAGGCTGCTTCAAGATGTTTTAAGTTACCAAAAATTATTCCAAAACCTAATTATTCCGGGGTATCTTAACGGGCTGGATCATGATTTTCAAATTCCAACATGCATAATCGTATACCTACCCCCCCTTAAAAATTATTCCTTGAAAATTATTCCAAAAGAAATTATTCCATAACCTAGTTGATACCCTGCGGAGATTGTGTACAGAGACCTTGTATAGAGATTTCTTACAGAGATCTTGGCAAAAGGTTTCTTACAGAGATCTTGTGTGGAGATCTATTTTAGACAGCTTGAACATACAAGAAATCTCTGACCACGGCCTTGCGAGGAGATCTCTACTATAGAGACCTTGTACAAAGATCTTGTACAGAGGCCTCTTATTACAGAAATCTTGACAAACGACCTCTTTTAGAGAGCTTGTGCAGAGGTCTGGTATAGGGATCTCCTACAGCGATCTTTCCGAGCCCTCTCATAGAGACCTTGTACCTTGTGCATGGATCTTGTATGGACATCTCTGACAGGGACCTTGCCAACAGATGTTTTATAGAGACCTTCTAGGGGATCTTGTATAGAGATCACTCACACGGACTTACCACAAAGACCTTGATGAAAAGGAACCTACACAGGATCTCTTGCACAGGACCTTCTACTACAGATATCCTTGCAAAGGGATCTTGCACAGCAGCTTATAAAGGAGATCCTGTCAAGCAGATCTTGCACGCGATCTTTTACGGAGATCTTCACAATGGGAACTTGCAGAATCTCTCTCTCTCTCTCTGTCGGGCGTCACTGTCTGCAGCCGTCCTATGAGCGCCCAAAAGAAGCCAAATAACACTGCAATGCAAGCCAAGTGCTCGCAGAGCTGAAAAGCCCTGGCTTTGCAGAATCTACCCTGGTATCTCTTCGTCATGTTCGTTGCAACACTGTTCGCGGCCTCTTGCCGGGGTATTTTTGTCCAGACAATTCAAAAAATGTGTCTAATGAAAATAGTTGGTAGTTTATGTTGTACGTGTTTGATTATGTTATAGATATATTATCCAATTGTTTTTTCTAATTTAATAGGGTGAATTCACAAAACCCTGATTTATGATTTATTCAATAAATTGACCCCAGAACTTTTTGACCTTTTCGTCTAATTTCATTTTTGGGCAGCAAATCATGAATGACAACTCTGCTGTTGGTGTCATGGAAAGAGGACAGTAAAGGAGTGTGGAGTGTGGAGTGTGGATTGTAGTACCTTGAATGCAGAGCGTGGGGTGTAGAGTGTGAAATCTAGATTGGGGAGTGTGGGGGTGTAAAATGCACAGCGTGTGGGAGTGTGAGTGTCGAATGTGGATCCCAACCTTTCCATTTCTCATGTTCTTCTGCCCATCCTTCAACTCATCTTCTATTTTTTTTGCTTAATGCAAAGACAAAATGTGTGGTCATTTTCTTGTGGTGTTTTCCTTGTTTCTCTTGGTTTTTTTTTCTGAAAAGCTCCCAGTGATCTTGGTGTCTCTTTGGCGTCTCTTGGTGGCCTCCATGATCTTCATGCAAATGTATACAAGTGTCAACCGTAATACATTCATATAAAGTCGGAATCCTTAATCCAAATAATCTATTTGCATTTGACGGAATTCTCACATTTCCACTCATGTATCATGGAGATGTACCTCCCATGCCGGCAGCCAACCGTGACAATGTAATGGTATCAATACCAAAGCTGGAGGATGCAGCCTCGATCGTGTGGCCATCAAGCGTTCCTTCGCTGAAGAGTTCAGCAGCCTGCAGCGCAATGGTAGCGCAATGGTAATGTAACAAAACAATGGCAACACACGCCGCTTTGAATTGAGAACAGGCCTTTGCTGCATGATGCGCTTGATCAAATGTGAGAAACGCTTCACCATTCCTTGAATGAAGCATAGGTGAAGCATTATATAACTGGACTCTCAGGGGCTGCCTCTGCTTTTTTTGCTTTCCATGAAGAGTTTGACACCACTCCTTTTCAAACACCAAAAATATTTACCCTGCGTAAGTGCTGCTCCCATCCATCTTGCCATGTTTCACCTCGAGGGGGATGGCATCGATGGAACATGGAGCTCGTAGAATCGAACAAAGCCACAGTCGAATGGATCAAGCAAAGCAATCAATCCAGGAATATCAAAAATGCCTGTCCGACAGTCGCAAACAGCTCCTGGCACAACAAAGTCAACCACCCAGAAAAAAAACAATAGGATTCTCCGAACGGACCAGCGCTTGTAGACTCAGGTATATGGCAAAGGGAATGAAAGCAAATCAAAACAAAATGGAAGTGTCTGCTGAAGCCAGCAAGTATCAGTGATACTGTGATACTCACACATGTTTCAAGGGGCCTGCAGGTGCTTCAGTGAAACTGACTTCGGGATGTTGGAGATCTTGATCGTCCTGCACCGCAACGCGCAAAATCTTGAGGTGCCAGGCCGACAACGGCAGTCATAACCGGGGCCGGGGCCAGGTCCTCATTCCTTCTCTACGCTCTTTCACGACGTGATCAGCCTCATTGGCAAGTGAAGCCTGCGAGACCCTTGTGACCTTGCCCTTGCGCTCTCATACCACTTTGTGTCATATGTGCGCTGTTCATGTTAGATAGGACTAATATGGACGAATTGGGTATGATCATCCCACATGAATGGGATTCTCCAATGATTCATTCATGGGTGCATGAGCATATATATATATATTTCTCCATCGCGTTCTCAAGGAGTTCAGCAGAGCTAAGGCGAGTAAGATACAACTCCTATACTATACATGTTTAATTTCACACGCCAACGAAGCCGTGCTGAGCTCCGGTGCTCGGGCTTGAAGCCGTGCTCTCCCTCAAGTTGATGTCACAAAATATCATGAAGAGCAGGGAACAAATAAATCTTGTAATATAAATAACTAAACATATATATATATTTATTTATTTAATATATGCATATAATTATACACATTTATATTATATAATTATTTAATATAGGTATGTATATGTATATATATATATATGTGTGTGTGTGTGTGTGCGTATGTGTTTAAAAAAATCATTAAAAAAATATGGAAGTATATGCCACGAATTACTATGAATGCTTGTTCGTTCATTCAGCTCTGTCTTTCACAACTTCGAGTGTCCTGTTGCATGTTTTTGCCCAGGAATCTGAAGGTGTCCGGGTCAAGACTTTGTGGGGAGATTGAGCGCCGAACTGTTTACAGAAGGTTCCTACAAGAAAAAACGATACATAGCAACAAACATGCTGCCAAATGATTCAAAATGATATGTCTGAAACATTTCTGGGCAGATTCCACTTCATCGTGTCTTCAACTGTCCTGCTCCTCGAGAGGACCATCCTACACGTGGCAGAAGTTGTGAACTGGTGAGTCAATGCAACTATCCACTGAATCCACGGATCCACTCTGTGCATCTTGAAACAGAGCTGAATTCTTCAGGGCTTCAAGTCTGTCTCCTTCATGATTTACACTTCTTAGCTAAGCTGTTGGCTGGCAATCGTTTCCAAGCTTTCCGTCTCAAGGGATCATCTTCCCCTGCACATCTCCACTATTGATCCACTGGCTAAACGCTCGGCCAACCAGGTGTACAAAATAAGGCCTTTTGCAGAACGGGGCTTCTCGCCCGGAGGATCCTGCTGACGTCTGCTGACAAAGAACAGTGAGTTTCCTTCAAACAGGATAGATTTGAGCGAGGTCCTCCGCATCGCTTTGCGCATTGTCTCTCTCTTCCATCTCTTGTGGAGGAAGGCCTCTGCATGAACAAACGGTTTGCTCAGGCTTGTCACAGTTGCCATTCTCCATCCTCCATCATCTGAACTTTTTGTTCAAAGAACTTGGTCAGGTTGGACCCCCATACACCACGGACTAATAGCAACCGGCACGATTTATCCGGGGAACCAACATGATCAGGAAAATCGAAATGTAGCTATGGGGACCTTGCATTGTTTATTCCTAGATGCCTCTTGCAGCCAAGCTGCCATGCCACTCATAGGGGTGGCGCGGTGCGAATCCATAAAGTTCCGGCTGGTGAAAATGCGGTGGCATGTGATGTACCGGGTAAGCCGGAAGAAAGTGCGGAGGATGGACTGGGTGAGCTGGATGAAAATGAGGAAAAGCAAAGCCCTCAGGTTCATAGGAGTCATGGCGCGGTCCTGTCATCAAGTTTTGTGAGATTTGTAAGGTCTGAGATGACGGAATGAAGCCATATGAAGCCATGACTCGCATCAAATAATGCGAGTTCTGCGGTCCTGGTGGCACCTCCCATTGTCCAGGAGGCACCTGGGTTGAATAATCCAAGTTAAATGATCCAAGCAGTTTGTTGCACCATGCTACACCCTCACCTGTCGGTCCGCATCCCAAATGGAATTGGTTTGGTCGCCCTGGGCACCTTGGGGCCACGAACGGTCAGGAGTCAGGAGCGAAGCGTGTGCCTCCCGCTCTGAGTCAGCAACCCGCAGAGTCGGTGTCCTTAGCGTCAACCGAGAATGAGAAAGGACTTTGGCAATGTGGGCACGCTCTGCACCATATTTCAACTTCAACACTAGGCATCCTGTGGATTTTCTATGGTGTCTATACCTGAGGAGCAGTCCGAATAGTCTGAGTAGTCTGATGCTGACCTTGGAACTGCATCAACTGGCAGCGCTTTGTTCGCTGCGGCTCTGTGTGGCGGAGGCAGGAGTTGAGGTATGTTGAGGTGCAAGCGGAGACACGCTGCGTAGTTTGTTGCCTTGGATCTGCGACTATAGTGACTAGCAACATGTTGACAGATAATGTCACAATCTTTGCTGGTTGAATCCATTAAATCGCCATTTTGGTTGGTTAAGTTCCATCAAATCATACATTTTGTGCCGGTCTCTAAGGTGATGACGCTTCTGCAGCACTATTTGCCGCAGCTTCGCGAGCCTGACCGATTCAGAGCTCCCTAAGCTCCAATGTGAGACGAGACGCAGGCCTTGCTTCAGTGTCTGGAACCTGGCACGGGAAGCAGCTAAGCTGGACATTTCGGGTTGGAGATCCAAACATATTCATTTCAGAATAGATATGTAAATAAATGCGTGTATGTATCTATATAGTCTATATATATATACTATATATATATATATCATAAATGTGTGCGTGTGTGTCTGTGTGTGTGTGTGCGTGCGTGTGTGGATTTATTTATATGTTCATATGTTTGTCTGCATATGATATTGCCTATGTGTTCTAATGTTTTCTATTTCTATGTGTAAAATACCGTAATTTGTTTTGTCATGCTTTATTTTGAGACATTTTGAATACACTAACACCCCGACATTATGGGACCCTTCTCAGCTCAAGTTCTCAGCTCAACGCCATTCAGCCCGAGGAAAGCTCCTGTCCATTCTGCTGTGCACGGTCCATTTCTGACCGCCCGCTGCGATAAAGAATGGCACCTGTCTTCCGTCATCTTGAATCAGATCAACTTCAATCTGCTGCCAAAACCAGTATGTGGATGCAAACTCCTGAAAACATCACTCCAAATGTCTATGGCAGTGGCATCTTGTCTGCGCTACTGAGACTGTTCTTTGTTTTTAAACGCTTTCAATTTGGTGGCATTGACGCTTGGCTTGAGCTGACACAAAATACTTGCAGCACTCACATTGTACGGGCACTCACCGTAGCACTTCTTGATGAGGGCACCAAATCCCGTGGCATCGCTTCTGCTGAGGGCACACTTTTTCTGAAGGAGCCATGAAGCTTCTTGCTTAGCCTCTTCCTTTGATGGCATCCATCAATTTCATTGATTTCTCGCGCACCTCTTCTATATTTACATAGGACATCTGATATATATATATATAATACATATGCTGTGCTCTTCTTTGCATGCAGTTGTGCCCAGCGCCGAATGTCAGGAAGGGACACCTCAACCAAGCATGGAGGAACATTCCTTCTAAGAAAAACTCGCATGCTTCAGCGGTGCAAATGTCGGCCTGCCCAGTTGCCCAAGAAAAGCCAACCATATCCAAAGCACCTGAGACGTCAGAGTGGACAAGCCGAGCGGTTTCCCCGAAGGTAGGAACAAGGAACAAGACACAGTCTGATCCAGCCAGACATGCTGTGACATGCTTCTCAGCAAATGTATTATTATTATATATATATATCAACATACTTCCCCAGTTTTGGAGAGGCGCAGCCCAACTTTAAAGCTGAGGCACGTGGATGACAAAAAGGCTACAACAGGTTGTGGCACCAATGTCTTCTTGTGCCTGGAATTGAGCATGGACACCTGCGCGATAGGCACCAAGTACTCTCCAAATTCTCCAATCTGGATGGAGCACATTCAACCGTAGATTCAAACAAGGCTTGACGCTGGCCAGACCGTGCCTCACACCACATGAAAAACATCCTTGGCTGCAGTGTAAACAAGTACGGTGATTTGGGGTGCTGGTTGTGTTGGGATGTGAAGCCATTTAGCATTATATAGAGGTAGGCACGCTCAAGCATCTTCCACCAAAAACCACTTTGATGAGAAAACAGCATGTTCAGAAAAGTCACAGCAAAAGCCATCCCAGAACGAGAAGGGGAAGAGCCAGTGCGCCCTGGCTATCGATCGGAAGGGTGCTCGGAATAGTGACCAGCATTCTTAACGTTGCCTTTTGCTCCTCAGTTGATCGGGTTGCCATCAAAGTCACTGCATAATCTGATAAAGGCTCAGCAGAAACGTTACAAAGTTTCTGCCACTTTGGACCTTCTGCCAAGTTTCCCCCCACCACTCTGAGGGTGTCAAGGCCAATGAGGGCACAGAAGGCAACAGCAACAAGACACCTTGGACAGCCCAACAATCCACACGCGGATATGCATGCTATGCATGCTCCACACACACACACACGTGGATTCATCTGAGAGAAAGAAAGAAAGAAGGAAAGAAAGAAAGAAAGAAAGAAAGAGAGAGAGAGAGACACACACACACACACGCACACGCACACAATAGTGTATATAGAGTGCCTCTCTTCAGACCAGCAATGTAGCAAAGCGGTCCGTAATTACTCTAGCTACTCTAGCTGGATTTGATGACCAAGTGCAGCCAAGGTGCCCAACAAAAGCCAAAAGAGAGGTTGTCGAAGACAAGGTCGTCTTGGCTGCGCAGGGGCAGCTGCCTCTTTAGGCGATGGCTGCACGGCGCTGGCTGACCTCGGGCATCAAGCCGGCAAAACAAAGCATCATTGTCAACAACATGCAATGGGAGCCAGGCCACTGCTTGGGTTGTGGGCCCCCAATAAGATTGGTTGGGCCTGCAGGCAGCTGCCAAACAACAAAGCCACCCAATGCAAAGGCTTCCACCTACGACCTGCCTGGGAAAGGGGCCGTGGGCATAGATCCCACCAATTCCCAGCGCTGCAAGGACAAGTGCAAAGAGGTCGAAGTGAGCTCCTCTCAGCAATTGTTGCATCTGCACTGACCCTGCAACACAGCTGGCCACCAGAAAGATCACGCTGACTGTTAACCCGTCCTTCTGCAGTTTTGAGTATGCGGTCATGCCATTGACGCTGACAATACAATCCCCGGGCAGGATTGGCGTGTAGGAACCTTGAGCTGAATCAACGAGATCTTGTTGCGCTGAGAGATGAAGTGCTTTGCTTTTGCCCCACCATCCCCCAGCAATCAAGGTCAGCACTGGCATTCCAGCGAGCAACAGCCTGGAAAATGCAGTCTTACAAGAATCGCCCTCAAACTATCGAACCATCGCGGCTTTATGATTTTGTATGACATGCTTTTGGTGTTGAGACTCTCGTTGCCAACATTGCACGCTGTGCCCCCCATCTATTCCCAATCGAAGAGCATGTTTGCAGTCAAGCTGCCCCATCCGGGACAATTTGCAACACAATGGCAGGACCGAGTGCCAGGGGATGTGGGCCTGGGTGCATCCAGGGCTAAAGAAAATGCTCCTCTCTTGTGCACTGGGGCCAGAACAAATTACCATGCCCATCCTGACAGTCTAGTGTCGTGAGACACATGTGCAGTCAATAAAGCAACATAGCAGGGCTCCTGTCTTCAGGGCCCATGCGCTCAATCTGGACCTCAAAATTCTTGCAACCTTAGTTCCCGTTAAATGGGGGTTGCTAAGCTAGCTTGTAGGGCCCCACAATCATCCAGACATCCTACCAACACCCTGGCCGCTCTTAAGCCTAGCTGCAGGAGGTGCCAACTGGTTGCCATCGCACCAGAGTCACAGTGGGCGATGGTAAGCGCAAGCCTTTTCGCACCTCAATTGTAGTGGGACGGCAAAGCCAACATCGGCAACAACGCGCTAGAATCCGCTAGACCATTTATAAGAAGCAAAGCAAGAACAGGAGCAACAAACATTGAAGAACAATCATAGCAACAAAAGAAACAAAAAACAAGAGAAAAACACGAAGAAACAAAGATTAAACTACGAGACAGAACAGACTCAGCAACAGAGCCGACAATTGGAGCCCCTGCCCATCCTGCCCTCTCTGTCCACAGAACAGTGCCCCCCCAAACAGCAACATACAGCCCCGCCAACCCGTTTGTAGGTTCAAATGAACGTCAAGGTTCTACCCCTTCACGCCAAAATTGTTGAAATGTGCAGGCGACCTGTGAGGCCTTTTCACAGCGGAACTCTTGCAACGACAAAGGGAAAACAAATGAGACCAAAACCTCCAAAAGGAAATGGAAGCAACACAAGGAAGCGCAGAAGAGAAGAGCCAACAAAGATTCGGACAACAGTCCTCTACACTCTACACGAGAATCATTCTCCGTGGGTGTTGCTTCATTGTTTGGCCAACAAATTAAATATAAATCCATCCTACCAACTATATAAGTCCAGTGGCGTTCGTGGATCCTCCAATTGAAATCACTCTATCACCAACCTGCCAGCCAGTCAGCGCCAGGTTATGCAACCACATTGTAGGAAAGGAAGCAAGAAACTGCCAACCTCCAACCTCTGGGTACAGCACAAGCCCTGCGGCAACTTTTCAGCGCGAACATGTACGAATCACGCTGTCTCAAGCAAATGATGACATGTCTACTTAGAAATGTCCCTGTTGGATGGGATTTCCTCAGGCCACTGATAGTGATTTAACATTTAACTTTGTCGTTTGAGCTGGTTGTTACTGTAGAGATGTTCAAGGCAGATTCCTTGGTCGTGTTGACCATGACTACCTTCGAATTTTAGAGCTTGACAGCTCGATGTGCAAAAAGCCTCGGCTATCCTTCTTTTAGTGCCTTGAAGTCTCTTTAGCCAAGCACAACTCTGAATCGTGCTGCCATGCCTTGGATAAGCAGTTCTGGTTCCATTCAAAAAGCCTGGGGCCAACCTGCCGGGGCCACAGCCAAGCAACTGCCAGCTGCACCAGCTGCATAAAACCAGCAACGGTGCGCCTGCAAGACCTCCAGAGCCACTTTGTCAAGGGCAGGTCCTGAAGATGTGGAGAACAACTTGCGTGGAGGTTCCAACCATCTTGGGCTGGGGTGACGAACCTGCTGATGATACTTCTGGTGGCCCCAATTCAGCAGCTTCTTCAAGCACCAGATCTTGCAAAGTGACCATGCCTCAAGTCATCACCATTGCGAGACGTTGGTCACCAAGCAGCACTGGGGTCATCGAATGCATCGAAGATGCCAGTCATTCTTTGCCAGCATCTCTCGACCTCCTCCAACGTTCGCGAGACCGCGACTGTCAGCGTGACATCCTGGTGATTTCACTTTTTGGATTTCACCGGAAACATCAAGGAACAAATCCAGAAATTTGGAGCTCCACTTTAGACCAACAGCAAGCATATCAGCAATCAGCACAAGGTAAAATGAACAACTTGCGGTTCCGCCAAGGTACACCATTTTCTTTCAGCCTTGCAGCCATAAGTCTTCCATCCCTGCACGTTTTCCCGCCACTAGTGACCTGGAAGGGGCTAGAACATGCTGGGCTGCTGGGCTGCAACAAGCATGCCATCATGGCCACCATGAGAATCCCGTGCCAGCACATGACAGATATCTGAGGCCGCAGCTGCGATAATTCGGTCACCATTTCGCAGCTGCTGCTCGGGGTAGGTCTGGATTTGATTCCAATTGTCCACCAGACTCAGTGCAGTCAGTGCAGTCAGCTGTGAGAGCACGAACTCTGGCACTCACACCTAAATCACCCAAGACTCAAACTCTCCGTCACCAATTCCTGGCATGTGCAAGCATACTGGTCTTTGATGGGGGCACCAAGACACAAACAATGTACCCTGCAAACCAAATATTGTCACAACATATCATGTCACAAATTGTCGCAACATATCATGTCACAACCACAACACAGTCTACGAAAGGTACCACTCTCTGAACATGATTCCAATGCGTCTGAACCACACATGAGCTCCCAACCTGTGATAGTTGCATAGCTGCCCTCTGATCTCAAGCAAAGGCCCAGCTTCTCATTCCCAAATCGTGAAAGATGAACGCTCAGGACGGGCATAGCCTGGACGATTGCAACGTGCAATCGAGCTGCCTACTTCCGGCTGTCCAAGGTTCCATCATGGTCCCACCTGCTTCAATGCATCCTCCTCGCTGGGAAGACCTCCACAGATTGAGCCTCACTCAAAATCTCAACGCTTTCATTGGGCAGCGCATTGAAACGAGACGCCGAAACCATACATTTACTCTGAGACTTTTGCCAAGACTTCTCGCAATATAAACCACCAACCTCAAGCGGGGCTGGCTTTGTCGTCCTCCTTATGAAGGTGAACATTTCTCTCTACTCATCTTTCACACAAAGGAGACAGGACATGCAGCTGTCTCAGTTTTTGCAGATGAGATGCACTGTTGCGCAAACCACGGCACCAAGAACCATCACTTTTTCCTCATTGTCGAGCCTGTCAAAGTCTACGCTAGCTTCAGACGCTGACAGTGGATCTCAGTGGATCTTGCCTGTTGAAGTGCTCAATGATCTCTTTTGCATCCATGGCAGGCAAGGCCATATCGCTGTCAGGCTGAAATAACTTGAAATAACCCACCAAATAGCTCCAGCTAGAAAGCTGCCAGAGTTCCGACGAATAGAACTGATATGAAATAAATTTCCTGTGAAAATGGACCTTATCTTCAACTTATCTTCAAGACAATGCTGCGTTTTTGACAAAGAGAGACCGCGGCCTCAAAATTGGCTGAGTTTGAGCCAGTTTGCACCAAACGGAGAGAAGAAACACAGGCTTGCAAACAACTCTTGAGTTTTCACCAGCCAACAAGCGCTAAAAAGTGCGCAAAACTTCCACCGCACTTGACCAATGAACCAACGACTTCCAAGTATCAAATTTCATCAAATTTCAACCCGAACCCGTGGTGGTGACTTTTGTGGCAGGCAATTGAGGCAAACCAATTTCCGTGACTATGGCTTCACCACTTCCCATCTCACTCCTGTCCGGGGAGGGTGCGGATGATGTCGGAATCTCCAGGGTCGGTAATGGACAGGCAGCTCACTCGATAGTAGCGCCCACAGGCAGTCCCAAGCTCATTGTTGTCACCGTGGAAGTGGTGCACCCCAGTCTTTGCGAGCATTGCATAGTACTCGATCTCACTCTTACGCAAGGCAGGGCAGTTGTTGGAAATCAGAACCAGCTTGGACTTGCCCTGGCGCAAAGTCTTCAGGGTGGTCTTGACTCCCAAGCAGTACTTTCCACTTTTCATCACCAGCTGCAGACGAGCATTGATGGAGTCTGCCGACTTGGATGCCTTGGACTGCTTCTTGGTGGCCATGGTGCTCCGATGGGAAACCCTGTGACTGAGGCTGCCGCTGCCTACGCCGATCCTTGAGATTTTTCATGTTTCGGGAAAAGGCAAGCACTGGCAAGCATGAATCATGGACATATCGGATGTCCGGTATGCTTGAATTAGAAAAGTTGTAAGTTGCCATTACCAGGCCGCTGCAACTTTTTGGTATCGCTACAATTGTCGACTTGTCGATGCTCACGGCATGTTCAGGCAAGCCTGACAGAAGAGAAAATACAACAGAAAGGTCCAGAACGCATTGTTTTCAAAAAGGGTCAGCACAGCGGCACACAGACTCCTCATGGAAGCAAAGGTGCAGTGCTGAACTTTTCTGTTCTTTCCAGCCTCATAGCCTACTGGATCACGGGTTTTTGTTCGTTGTAGCCCTGCATTCATTGGGCGCGTGGTCTTGATGAAAAACGAATACATCCATGTAGCCGGCCTGTCGGTCGTGGCCACTGCCTGGACCTGAGCTGCCAGAGATGGTTGGAACACAAACCAAACGTGAAGGAAAAGTGGCCCCAAGTGCAGCAGTCTTTGTGCCAACTTTGTGCAAATGGCAATTCCAATGGAGGCAACGAAAATCGCTACATAATCATAATCTAGGCACATCCATGACAAATGAGCAGGACAAAAACAATTACACACGGCTCGTGCAATTCATTGTAATACGTTCCAATGCGTTTGCTCAGCAAGTCGGGACAAAACTATGTTGTTGTTGTGCGCATGTACATGAACATTACTCCCGCCCCACCCCACATGTATAACGGAGCCGCAAGTGTGCACTTGTGGGAGAAGATCTTGTGACGTAACAGCATCATGGGAGTATATATCCAAGTGAACGTTACTGCCCCACCCCACCCTGCCCTGCATGTACAACGTAGGCACTTTATAGGGCCGGTACAAGATCCATCTGCAAAAGGGACGAACGTAGCGAGACGGCACTGAAACCACGACTATCGCTCTTTTTCCCCGACGAAAAGCCATAAACCACGACTAAAAAATAGATAGAAATAGCCTATTATCTCGACTAAGTGTAGCTGGCAAGAGTGAAGATTCCGCGCAGGTCTCCAGGAAGCCATCCGAGTTTGTAGGAGAGTTTCAGGAGTGTTGCGGGAGTGTTTCTGGAAGAGTTGCGGGAGAGTTTCGAGGAGAGTTCAGGGAACGTTTCCGGGAGAGTTTCGGGGAGAGCCTGAAGGAGAGTTTTAGGAGTGTTCCGGGTTCTTCTTCGAGCTGCCGTGGCTGGCAGCATTGTAACAAGAAACTTTCAGCAGCCCTGAGAACGACTGAGCCCACAACATTCGGAGCAGGAGAGCCTTCGGCCTGATGAACAAGTTTACTGAGCACTGGCCCGTGAAACAGCAGATAGAGAAAAAGAGAAACATAAATCTTGCAAGGGACAGCCAAACGCAGATTCTGGAATTACAGCAAACAAGAAGGGAAAAAATGCAAGAGACAGCAAAACGCATTGATGAAGCCAATTTGCTATCATCGGGGCACGCCTTTGAAGCCTCTGCGACTCTGCAATCCTTCGGAGCCGGTTCGGCCTGCTGTGTGATAGCCACCAGAACAGACCGACAATTAAATCTTGCATAAGATTTCCAGACGCGTCGAAGTCTGTCCGAATCTATCTTGCCTTTCCCTTCGCAAGGGCCAATGTAAGCATCTATGCCGCAACAGAGCATTGTGGACTTGCTCTTCCATGAAGCAAATTTGCAATCATTAATGCACGCCTTCGGATCCCCTGCGCCCCCTGATTCTGGAGCATGCCCAACTTGTTTGGCCTGATGAGGAGGTTTACCCAAGCACCAGCCCTCAAAACATGCACTAAAGCAAACAGGAAGCAAAATAATTGCAAGGGACAGCAGAACGCATCGATGAAGCCAATTTGCTATCATCGTTTGCCCATACAATTCCAAACATGTTTGTTGGTGATTGTTTGCTAGTTGCTGTGAGATATGGCCAGTTGTGGTTTGAGTACCACCTTCATATGCTTTATAGGGCCGGTACAGGATCTGCAAAAGGGACAAACGTAGCTGGTCCCCGACAGGCAGTAACCAAAAACAATGGGCACCCAGCATCCCACACATTCAGGGATAGGTGTACCATCAACTAAGCATGGACAAAGCACACCCGATAGGTAAGAAAACGTACGCTAAGCTATCATGTCCTGCTAGTTCAACTCATCGTATCATAGCATATCATAAGTGGATGCAGCTCAATGAACCTTCTGCAGGGTGCCTGGTCACCGTCGTTCTGCAACTCCTTTGACACTTCATCGGTGTCGTAGACCTCACAATTGGTCTATCTCGCCCGTCTCCCAAAGCATCTGATCGCAAGCACAACCGCTCCAAAAGCTCCAAAACGGGCATCCAGCGAAGCCAAATTCATCTGGACGGGTAGGACCCACTTTGTGGGTCTTGTATGGAACAGCCAAAGGCATTGAAGTCTATTGGAGTCTAAGATGCTTTTCCATCCACATTCATGGTGGCCTTCGCAAGGGCCAATGTAAGCATCTATGCCGCAACAGAGCATTGTGGACTTGCTCTTCCATGAAGCAAATTTGCAATCATTAATGCACGCCTTCGGATCCCCTGCGCCCCCTGATTCTGGAGCATGCCCAACTTGTTTGGCCTGATGAGGAGGTTTACCCAAGCACCAGCCCTCAAAACATGCACTAAAGCAAACAGGAAGCAAAATAATTGCAAGGGACAGCAGAACGCATCGATGAAGCCAATTTGCTATCATCGTTTGCCCATACAATTCCAAACATGTTTGTTGGTGATTGTTTGCTAGTTGCTGTGAGATATGGCCAGTTGTGGTTGGAGTACCACCTTCATATGCTTTATAGGGCCGGTACAGGATCTGCAAAAGGGACAAACGTAGCTGGTCCCCGACAGGCAGTAACCAAAAACAATGGGCACCCAGCATCCCACACATTCAGGGATAGGTGTACCATCAACTAAGCATGGACAAAGCACACCCGATAGGTAAGAAAACGTGCGCTAAGCTATCATGTCCTGCTAGTTCAACTCATCGTATCATAGCATATCATAAGTGGATGCAGCTCAATGAACCTTCTGCAGGGTGCCTGGTCACCGTCGTTCTGCAACTCCTTTGACACTTCATCGGTGTCGTAGACCTTACAATTGGTCTATCTTGCCCGTCTCCCAAAGCATCTGATCGCAAGCACGACCGCTCCAAAAGCTCCAAAACGGGCATCCAGCGAAGCCAAATTCATCTGGACGAAATTCATCTGGACGGGTAGGATCCACCTTGTAGATGTACCGCCTCACCAGAAATGCTTCCCTTTATTGGCTGAGATCTTTTAGATGTAAGTACTGTACATCACATCTCCAAGCGCCCCACTGGTAGAGAAACACGAAAAAGACGATGTCATCGCGAAGGGTCATGTACCTGCCACTCCAGCGCAAAGAGAAAGCAATGAATACTAGAAAAGCTTCACAAAAAGCTTCACACTTGCCTGTGCTTTGCTGTCATGTGCTCATGAGCAATGAAGAAAGCATAGACGTCATCCTTGGAATCTTGACGCAGCGCCACGATCCCTCTTTCTACCACTGGACCGTAAACTGCCCACGTGATCCACGAACTACACTATATTGCTCGAAAGGGTCGATGGGAATTCCAAGCATCGCATGGAGTAAATCATGACAAATCAGCTTTTGACTCAGGATTTGATTTGCAAATCAGAACTTTAGTCCAGTGTCAATGAACGTGTTGAAGAACTTGTAGATCAACACCCTCCAGGGCATATGAGCCTCGGGTATGAATTTCAACCAGGCGGGCACAATGAATTGAGGCAGTGCCAGAACTCGAGGGTCCTGCAACGGATCGCAACTTGTAGTTGATGAAAATCTGCCTCACATGGCAATGAGAAATGATGAGAAATGACACTGGGGGACAGATGGGTACAGTAGCTTCGGCGCTGGTTCGGCTTAGTGCAGCAAGTGGGCGGCAGCATGTTGATGAAGCCAAAGCCATAGGCGAAGTCGGCCTTGCGAAAGCCGTGAAGAGCTGGCGACGAACTTCTTTTAGGACTCGTCGCCAAGAACTGTCCGGCGCACCAGGGAAGAAATAAACCAGCTCCACCAGCTTTTATAGCTATACTTCGTCAGATTGTACCTGGGCATGGGGCATGGCATTCTTTGTGCACTATGAGTTGCATCCATCTGAAGAAATGGGGCAGCTGGGATCCGAGCACGCAACAGCAAGCCATGGCAGGGTAGACGATGCATTTGGTCATGTACATTCCCCTGCCATAATTCCAACAATAACTATATAATTATATAGAGGCAGCTGATAGGTGAAGAGGTCAAGACCTACAGAAATGCAACAAAGTGCGCCTTGCATCAATCTCATCAGTTTGCTTCTCAGAGGCCTTGCAAAACGAGTAATGAGAAGGTCTTACTACTACACTGCGGAAGTAAAGCTTCTAATCCTACTCTGAACTCTCAGCCGGCACATTCTCATGTCTTGCTCATCAAAGTCAAACTCCATGACCATATGAACATGGGCCTCTGCAAGCCGGCCATAGGTCACCCAAGGCAGAAGGTAGCTCCTCAGTGACGTTGCCAAGGGTGTGCTGATTTCCCGTTGGAGTGCCACAACATCAAAGAGGATGATTTGGTGCTCTAGAATTAAGGCCACAACCATGTCACGCCAAGACGAGCAACGCCTGAGCAAAGATTATTTGCGAGTGCTGTCTGGGTACCCTATTCCATCCCATGGTTTGAAACCTCATGTTCTCCACTTGTTCACCACGTGTCGCTGGCCACCAATTTGGATAGCTACATCAGTTTCCAAGCCCATCTTGTACTGAGCTGCACGACGCGCATACTTCCACAGACCAAAAGCTGCTTGCCTCGGTTGCGCCATAGAACTGATGGATGATGACTCAATGGACTCCTGGCATGTTAGGCTCTCCGGCCATTTGCTTGACAACAAAGCGATGTGTTCATATGTGTTCTACATATTCTACAGAGACACAAATTTCCACCCCAAATGTTTGAGACCCACCATTTCCCATTCAGCAATTTGCAATGCGAAGTACGCTGAGGGCTAGGCGCCCCCAGCTGGAACAAAATCAGCCTCGAGATGTGGTCAAAGTCGTACAAGTAGAGGAAAATAACCAACTCCTGATGGCTACGCGGCTGCACTACTTTCCTGGAAACAGGGCAACCCAGCTGCAACTTGCTGCAACCAGCATTTTCAGTGGAAGATGAGATCCCTTGGAAGCCCTGGTCCTGCAAGGCATCAGTGCCCAAAGATCGACTAGATAGCCCAGTGTAGTCATCACCTAAAGTCACGGCTAGACACCGGGGCTCGGCGTGAGATAAAACGTTCAATTGGGCCAAGTAGAGAAGTGGTGAATCCTTGCAACTCATTGTTTGCTACCTATGACTCCTATGACTTCATCTTTCCAGAACCATCCTGTTCCTTACCAACTGCTTGGCCCCTTCGCCAGTAAAGATATTAAAGACTGAGGGATTGACGACCTCTGAAGAAGCTGACATCATTCTTGAAAGCCAACCTTGGTGATGCTTGCCTGCCGCAATGTTTTTCACCATTTAAATGTCCCTCAAGGCATCGTTCTCCTTCCGCGCCATCATCTTATATCATCTTCCAAAGCTAAGAGCCAGACGTCCACAAAGCCATTTGAATGAAACTCACAACCTGAGCATTTCATCTTCTTGTCACCCTGGATTTACTTCATGGGGGCGGCCCTGCAGCAGTCTTCGGTCTACAAGTGTCCCGTTTGGGTTCATCCAGTCACAGCCTGCATGATAATGAGGACGTGCAGCGGCTGTCTGAACATGAAGTCCTGTTTCACATCAACACGGGCCAACCACCAACTCACAACAGCCAATGCAGTCCAAGGCTTCAAACATGCACCGCACACATCCGCACACCCTGTCCTTGACTTCATCTAGGTCACGTTCTGTGAGCCCCATCTGCATGTACCTGTCTTTGGACGTATTGATGGTCGCGCGAAGTTTCAGCGCTTCATACGGGGCACTGTTTCATGGCCTCCATCATTGTTTGGCGAGCGCTATACTTGATCATGCCCGAGAACTCAATCTGAAACAAATGCCGACTCCGTGTAGCACTGCATGTTGACATCGAAAAGTTGCAAAATGTTGCAAAAACCAGGCCTGTGCATCGATAGAGGGGTCTGACCTGCCAGAGTTTGGAGACAGGGGAATCAGCATCGAGCGTGAGAATTTCTCAATGTTCTCTCTTATGTTGTGCCTCGAAGTGTTTGAATCCAGTGGTGTCCAGAACCGAGGTCGAACACCTTGGCATTGTGACGGAAGGCACCCATTGAAATCCCATAGTGGTAATCCAATAGTGGTGCGCAGCATGCAGCACCCGAGACTTGGTTCCAAGCTCCAGGTATCCACATAGAATGGTGGAGCGTACACTTTGTCACCTGAAGGCCTGGGACCCAAACACGAGACCGGCCAGACCCCAAGAAATGACAGGACACAGTTGCAACAGTTGCGTCCCGGATGCAACATCAGCCAGGGCACAGCAGCCGCACATCGTATCTGACCTAATCATGTTGAAACCCACCAGCTTTGAAGCCAGAGCAGTTGCCCAGTGTCTGGCAAACATCAACAGCAATTTCCCGTCCAAAGATATCCAAAGGGCATCTCGCTCACGCATCGCAAACGGTTGCCCCTTCTCAAACACCATTTCCTCCGCCGGGATGTGTGTAGCAGGGGTGCACCTCTGTTGGTATGTCGCAGCCGACTGGGTGCAACTTCTGGACATTTAATCAAAACGTCGAAGCTGCTGCTGATTAGAGAGGCCTTGCTGGATGGAATGCGCGGATCAGCGCACCTTGTAGAGCAATGGAGCTGGGTATCTGTCATCATAAACCTGGTCACGGCAGAAGCTGTTACGGAGAAGATACAGGAAATAAGCTTCTACAGGCGTTCGCCAAACGCATTTTGGAATCCTCTGACACTGCATTGGATAAAAGGTGTTCAAACAATGTCCATTGCTTCTCGACCAGTGATGGAAGGAGCTCCCACACCTGTGAAACCATCTAAAAATACTAAGGCCGTGCATGTTTACTGCCACCCTAAGCTCCTGTTTCGCACATTTAAATTATTCCCGCTCCTCTGCGTCGGCTGCAACTTCCTATCGGGGCCCAGCAAGGGTGCACAGTTCAAACCCGAACCCTCCAAACACATGATACATTACATGTCATGAAATCTAACAAGTGCATAATCAAGTTTGGGCACCAGCAGCAGTGAAGGGCTGATATGCGGCAGCAGCGGAGGTGGAGAAAACTAAGCCAAACACTGTCGCAGTTCTCATAGAACCCTTTCCTCCCCCCATGCAGAAGGACAGCCAACTTCTTGGCAAAGTGGGGCATTCGATAGATATCTCGAACTGAGAGAGCGGCGAAAGCAGCTGTGCTTTTCCCATTTTGCTTGGCCGAAGAGGCCTTGGCCATCTGAACAGGATGTTGGCAGATCGATTTCAAAAATGCGGCCCTTCCCTGCCTGATTGCGAATGACTTGAAAAAGGCCAGCAATGAGGGACACGAGACCTTATGTTTGTCTTGCAAAGCCACAGCATCTGGGACACATTAGCAAAGCGAAAGAATACCTGGCATATTTCGATCGCTGCCACCACCAAGGTCAACACAATGACGGCAGACTGCCAACACGAGTGATGGCCTGGTTCTCTCCAAGAAAATGAGGTTGAGAGCTGCTTCCAACCTATTTAGATTAATATACATATACATATATATATGTGTGTATGTAAGCATGTCTGTCTGTCTGTATGTATGTCTGTCTGTATGTATGTATGTACGTATGTATGTCCATCTGTATGTCTGTCTGTCTGTCTGTCTGTACGTATGTATGTATGTACGTATGTCTGTCTGTATGTATGTATGTCTGTATGTTTGTCTGTCTGTATGTCTCTATGTATGTATGTAGGTCTGTTTGTCTGTCTGTCTGTCTGTATGTATGTATGTACGTATGTCTGTCTGTATGTATGTATGTACGTATGTCTGTCTGTATGTCTGTCTGTATGTATGTACGTATATAACGTATCTCTGTCTGTCTGTATGTATATATGTGTATGTATGTATGTACGTCTGTCTGTATGTCTGTCTGTATGTATGTATGTACGTATGTATGTCCATCTGTATGTATGTCTGTCTGTCTGTACGTATGTATGTATGTACGTATGTCTGTCTGTATGTATGTATGTCTGTATGTCTGTCTGTCTGTCTGTATGTCTGTCTGTATGTATGTATGTAGGTCTGTCTGTATGTATGTCTGTCTGTATGTATGTATGTACGTATGTCTGTCTGTATGTATGTATGTACGTATGTCTGTCTGTATGTATGTACGTATGTCTGTCTGTCTGTATATACGTATGTATGTCTGTATGTATGTATGTATGTCTGTATGTATGTATGTACGTATGTCTGTCTGTCTGTATGTATGTACGTCTGTATGTCTGTCTGTATGTCTGTCTGTCTGTATGTGTCTGTATGTATGTACGTACGTACGTATGTCTGTCCGTCTGTCTGTATGTATGTATGTACGTCTGTCTGTCTGTATGTATGTCTGTACGTCTGTCTGTATGTATGTCTGTCTGTATGTATGTATGTACGTATGTCTGTCTGTATGTACGTACGTACGTATGTCTGTCTGTCTGTCGGTATGTACGTATGTCTGTCTGTATGTATGTCTGTCTGTCGGTCTGCACGTATGTATGTATGTCTGTCTGTATGTATGTATGTATGTATGTATGTAGGTACGTACGTATGTCTGTCTGTCTGTATGTATGTATGTATGTACGTATGTCGGTCCGTCTGTCTGTATGTATGTCTGTATGTCTGTCTGTCTGTGTGTCTGTCTGTATGTATGTATGTATGTATGTATGTATGTAGGTCTGTCTGTCTGTCTGTATGTATGTATGTACGTATGTCTGTCTGTATGTATGTATGTACGTATGTCTGTCTGTATGTCTGTCTGTATGTATGTACGTATATAACGTATCTCTGTCTGTCTGTATGTATGTCTGTCTGTCTGTATGTATGTACGTATGTCTGTCTGTCTTTCTGTATTTATGTCTGTCTGTATGTATGTATGTACGTATGTCTGTCTGTCTGTCTGTGAGTATGTATGTATCTCTGTCTCTCTGTCTGTCTGTCTGTCTGTATGTATGTATGTACGTCTGTCTGTCTGTATGTATGTATGTATATATGTCTGTCCGTATGCATGTATGTACGTACGTACGTACGTACGTACGTCTGTCTGTCTGTCTGTACGTATGTATGTACGTATGTCTGTCCGTCTGTCTGTATGTACGTATGTCTGTCTGTCGACTGTCTGTATGTATGTATGTACGTGTGTCTGTCTGTATGTATGTACGTACGTACGTATGTCTGTCTGTATGTACGTACGTACCTATGTCTGTCTGTCTGTATGTGTGTACGTATGTCTGTCTGTCTGTATGTATGTACGTACGTATGTATGTCTGTCTGTCTGTATGTATGTATGTACATACGTATGTCTGTCTGTCTGTATGTACGTACGTATGTTTGTCTGCCTGTTTGTCTGTCTGTATGTACGTACGTATGTCTGTCTGTCTGTCTGTACGTACGTATGCGCGTACGTATGTCTGTCTGTCTGTCTGTATGTACATACGTATGTCTGTCTGTCTGTATGTATGTATGTACGTACGTATGTCTGTCTGTCTGTATGTATGTACGTGTGATGTTTGTCTGTCTGTCTGTCTGTCTGTATGTACGTACGTATGTCTGTCTGTCTGTATGTATATACGTAGGTACGCAGGTCTGTCTGTATGTATGTACGTACGTATATCTGCCTGTCTGTCTGTATGTATGTACGTACGTACGTATGTCTGTCTGTCTGTCTCCATGTATGTACGTACGTATGTCTGTCTGTCTGTATGTATGTATTTATGTATGTATGTGTCTGTCTATCTATCTATCTACCTATCTATCTGTCTGTCTGTCTATCTATCTGTCTGCCTGTCTATCTATATCTATCTATCTCTCTATTTACGTGTTTATGTATCTATGTATCTATGTATCTGCGGATCTATGTATCTATGTATCTATGTATCTATGTATGTATGTCATTGTATGTCTATATTTGTGTGTGTGTACATGTCGGCATACGTGTAGATTCAGTCTCTCAAAAGTGACACTTCGACAGAGAACTTGGGGAGGCACTCTCCAAATGATGTTGCCACGAGAAGAAGTCCGACCTATGGGGCGTCCCCCAGAGCTACGGAGTTGGGCTTATCCCTCCAGTTTGGGTAACATTTTTCCTGCCACCTTTGCAGCGCACAAGAGTCACATCCTTGTGACAAGTAGCCCAGGGAAGAGCTGATCTGGCATAAATGGTCAACGTCCAACCTTGAGGCATCAGTGGCTAGCAGCTAGCAGCCCTGTGGCAGAAAAGCGATGTCAAAGGACTCTGGCCGAACATCTGAGCCTTGAAGACCGGCCTCATTTGGCACACCATTGATGCCAGTGGCACCAATATGGAACTGCTTGGACCTTCCATAGATGCCAACCCGCTTCCATGTCGACTCGCTTCGAGTATCTGCGTCCTTGGCATTCTGAGCAGTGAACTCGGAGGGCTCCGTGTCATTCTCGCTGTCCAACAAGTTCCGCTTGGGCTTGACCACCTTTAAGGCCGGAAAAACTGTGAGTATGGAGTTCGTTCCTAGGTCAGACGTTGCCTAACAAGGCAATATTGGCATCCTAGGTAGCCTAGGTAGCATAGGTCACGTCTGTTTGAAGAGTGAGGAATCGGCGCCTGGGGTAGAAGCTTCACGACCGAAGCTGTGGTGTGCAACCTTGCAGCCCACTAGTTTAAACGCCAACTGAAAGCTGCTGGACACTGGACCTGGGTGATTTGAGCTGCAATGGGCTACCTGGCTACCTTCCAGCAGCTCGTGGCTAAGCTTCCGGCACGTGCTCACTCACCACTCCGCGCAAAGGACTCCTACAGACTTCAGCTAACATGGGCTCTGAATTTGGTTTCAAGTATCATGACATGTCTGGGTTCCCCGCTGTTTGGCTTCAACAAGCTTCTGAACTTCATCTTCCAGCCTATCATCAGGGTATATCAGCGTACTGGAAGGACAAAGTCGCATGGCTGCACCACAGACCACGTTGATACTTTCAACGTTCTCAAGTCCCCTGTTCCCTTGGTAATGGGGGTTGTAAGGTCTAGTCTACTAAGATCTCCTAAGTGCAACCTTCTGTACGGTTGTGCCTTGCCCCAGACCTAACGAAGAAGCAGTGGGCAAACAGCAGGGTCTCATTTCGCCGGACCTGGGCCAAGGCCCAAGGCAACGATCGACGGCAAGGCAAAGTGTCGGAATGGACGCCACATGGGCAGCTGTGACCCCAACTGCTTGAAGCTCAGGAAGTGAGAGCGGCACTTTGGCCCTCGGAAAGCATATATTTTTGTAGGACGGAAGAGGGTGTTGTAAACTTATCTCAAGGATGTTCAAAGACGTAATAGTTATGAATGAAACAGTCAGACATAGTATTGAATCATACAGATGGAAGTTGACACCCACCGCCCAAAGAAGCGCAAATATCGATCTAGCAATAAACTGCCAAGGTCAGATCCACTTCACCATATTTTCCTTCCCCCACCGAGCCCGAAACTGAACGGTGCCCTTGACTTCTCCATATTCTGCCTGAGATGCAGCGAAATAGAAGGTGAATGGCCTCCGAAATTTACTGGAGAAAAATGCCTTGGTGCACCTAAGGCCTAAGACGAAAAGGTACGAAAAGGGTACAAATCCGGCTGAAAGTGTCCCGGCATGTCATTTTTTATGTGTTTTTGCCTTCCTGAAATTAATTGCAGTAGGCCTTGACCAATCAAAAACCACAAGAGCAGCCCAGACATTACAAAACATTGGGACCGTCACCTGCTCGCAGCTTTCGGCCGCATCTAAACAGGACTCTGGGTCCCATGCACTGATGTTGAAAAATGGGATACTCTTCAGCTCACCAAAGCCTCCCACGGGGCAAACTAAGCAAAGACACCACCTCTCCCTCTTGATCCAGTAAACTCGCGGCAATCAGCTCCGCTTCAACTAAAACCATGTCATCATCTCTCATTGAGCTCGCAGATACTTCACAGGTCCGTATGCACTCACTGGCCCACCCAAACAGCCTTCAAGCGTCCACCATTCCAGCTCATTCTTTGTAGTCAGAAATGCCTCAGCTGGCAACACTGAACCCTTGAGTCCCAAACATAGAGCTACCTTCACGAGGCCAGACCACTTAAAGTGAAGAGTCTTTGAATATGCAAATTGAAGGCAGAACAAAATGAATCCTGCGACAATGTAGGCAGGTGCTTTCACGTGCGAGCACAATAAAGTTTCCCACATGGACTTCAACCTTCTCACGTGGAAGAAATAGAGGGCCTGAGACAAACATGGCTGGCATGCACAAAAAAACAACGCAGGACGATGGAATTTAAATCCAGCCCAGAGGACGGAAGCAATCCTTTTTTCGTGAATCTGGAGGACACCGATGTGCTTGAAACCTAAGCAGGTCACAAATGCATTGCATACCTTTTCCAGTGAATGTGCCTCTAATGAGTGACAAGTCAAGCCCACTTCTTTCTTCAGTTGCGATGACCAACAATTGCATGGACCCGGGCGAAATGTAGAATTGTAGGATGGTGCTGACAGCCATCCTGGCAACAGGTTCAAGGCCACACTGCTTGATGCCTTGGGTTTGTGATGGTGATGCTTTGGATGCATTCAGATTGGAAAACTGTCGCACAGCAGGCCATCCCAGGATGACATAGCAAATTGTGCTTGCAGTTCCCATGAGAGCTTGCTGATCTCATTTGCCTCCGCAAGTAGGACAGGTTGTCGCGTTTGTTGTCTCCCAATGCAACAACTGCAACTTCTCAGAGCCCGACACAAAACCAGACCCATCCGCCACGATTGAACCCCACGTCCCCAGTGGTGTGGTTCTGCTGATGTAAATAATGTCAAAACTCCTCTTTCTGCTGGGACTTCGAGATCTGCCCCTTGTTATCCACCAATGCACTGGCTATCTACCGGGAAGACTTTGACTGCGAAGGGCTGTCCATTGAAGACTATGAAAAGTTGCGAAAACCTAAAATTCAGGGTGGGGTCAGTCCTGAAAGAATCCCTCCGCAGATTGCACTTACATGAAACCAATTGGAACTATTCAGGTATATTATATTCGGGTACTATAGCCCGCTGGAAAATTGCTAGCGACATGCGACGCTGAGAAGGGCCAGCTGGCTGCACAAGGAGGTGCCATAAACCACCCCGACAGGTGAATAGAAGGACCTGGGTGCCACCTCAAGGCTGGGTTTCACTAAATATAATATTATGTGTGCACATGTGTATATATATATAAATGCATATTTCATATTACATATTAGTCTCATATATAAAATATATATAATATATACACATTATATAACAAATCGGCACATAAAAAGCAACCAAAAAAACACCGCTCGGAAAAAGACACTTCACGGAGCGAGGCAGTACATCAGTACATCATGATACAACACATGCGCTGGCAGCTGGACTTTGCATGGCAAAGCGTCACTGCAAATTCTGCAGAAAGGCACAGCCAATCACGAGTATCTTCCCTTTTTAAAGCTAGGCCATGGCGGTGGCAAGCGTGGCATCAAAGACCCACGACTCTCACCTTGTAGTTATGAGTCATCAGTCCCGGAATCACAAGATATCACAAGCTCAGAAAACTGAGCGACCACAAGTCTTGGCCTTCGCTACTCATGTCATCGTACTCGAAGCAAACAGCTTCACGCACTTCCTACGAATTGGGAATCGTTGGAACTGACCGGGGCAAGCGAAGAACCATTTGTCTGAACGTGGTCAAAAAAACACAATCAACGCAGCAACACACCAAGAAAACCACTTTTCTGCAGAACGTGCCAAAGAATACAATACATGCCACCTGCAACACCCCCAGCCATCGCCTGTATTCCTCCTGGTGTGTCAACTTGTGAAAGCAGTGCCTCCATGGCAGGAATCCAAGATCCAAGACCATCAACCGGCCATCCAGTCGTCAGTTGTCAGCCGCTGCCAGCCTGGATTTTTCGAGGCACCAAACTCTGGGCAAGGCCAAGCCCTTCCGGCTTGGTCGTTCATTGACTTCCTGCAACTGGCTGATGTCAGTCGTTGCACCCTGATTGTGATATGATTGTCATATGTGCACTGTACATATGGGCCCCATATTACCCTGCGGCTGGCTGATTAAAGCTGAAACAAAGTCGGAGAAGCGATGAGAACCTGTCCTGCAAGTATCGTTCCACTCCCTGAGCTAGGATGATGTTGTCGTCCTGAGGATATAGACGCTTCAGCGCGGTACAAAGGCCTGTGAAACACGTGGGAAATTTGCCAACGCACTCTAGTTTCGGGCTGCCAGTCCTTGGAATAGATAAACTGCATTGGCACCGGTGGTTCCAAAGCGTGGACGACCACGGTGTCTGAGCTCGCCAGTTTGGTAAGCATCTTCTCAGGCTTGTCCCGCAAGTACGCTTTCACAATCGAATTGCCCTTGGCAGGTGACATTTCTCGACTGAACGCTGTTGGAAGTATATTTTCAACTATTTTCAACAACTGAGGCAGCTGCCCCAATGATTGCAGAAACAGCGCGCTTGCTGGCAGTTTCAGCTTCTTTCTTCTTCTCTGGGGAGCCATCATGGCCTGTCGAAACTGCCTGTCAGCAAACCATCCAGATTTAGGACATCCAAATGCCACAGCTGCTGCTGCCAAGGCACTAGAGAAACCGCAGCTGCCACCGATTGCACCATGCTTTGGATGCAGGCTTCGGCCGTGACGGCACCGTCAGGAGCTGAATCTAGAATCACACCTTGGTGTCCCAGGTTGTGAAGTCTGGTCGAAGTGGATCCCTTTTTCTAGGGCGAATTTTGGTGACGAGGACATTTGCAACACGTTTCCAAAAACGGATTCAAATTTGCACCTCAAATATCGGAAAAAATGGTAGGCTCGCTACAGATCTCTCTCTACTAAATCGAATGATTTTGCCAACTGCTGACAGTGCAGCCAAGCTGCCACGCAGAACATCACTCATGGCAGGCAAAGGCATCGGAAGCCAAACTCCCTGCTCCTAATGGCACAGGGTACGGTTTGTAGACGTTCTGATGGGCAAGAACCGAGGGTCCACAAGAGCACCCCGTGAGGAAATATGATATACACATACAAAACGTGATCATAAGATGTATGTATTATGTAACAACATTATATACACTTACACATATAAAATGCATCATATATATATATCAAATATTAAAATGTGTGTGTGTGTGTGTGCATGTGTGTAGTGATTATATATAAAATAACATAAGATATATGTAGTATGTACATGTTTTCCCGGTGATTCTAGTATTTGGTACTCTCTGTGTTGGAGACATGTCCATCGTCACAGTCTCACAGTCGATCCTCCAAGTCCTGGCCACTCAAGGCATTCCAGCTTTGCCTCCGCGCGCACGGTGGGAATGCCATGGATAGCATATATATAGATTATATAGGAGGAGGCACCGGACTGCGCAAGGTATTCTCACTCGAAACATCTCCAAACCAAGATTTCAGGCTGAAATACTTATAGTGAAATGTTGCCAACGCCCTCAAAAAGCAAGCGCCATGTCCCTTTTCCACAGGGTCCGCGACTGGTAGCCAAATGGCTGTCGGGTCTCGCAAAAATGAATTGAGGCTGCACCAAGTATCTTCAGGGTTGAATATGCCCTATCTTCACACATCCCCCCGTTGATCCATGCGTGCAGCCTTACGGTAAAGCTGCCGTTTCTTGGCTGCTTCCCTACGCAAACCTTGCGCCTCTGACGTGTCCTTCAGAGACCAAACTCCTTCTGCCAAGGCCCGTTCGAGCTCATTGTTGGCATACCACTTCGTCATGGCATCAGCGATCAGATGATGGCCCGGCACCCAACGTACGAAGGCATTGATGTCCGCCTCCATCAAGGCCTGCTTCAAGACCGCCAAGTCAATCTGAATCTTTCTGTCCGATGTCTGCGTCTCATTGTTCAACACGTCGAATCCCGTCTTTGAGTCAATGACCAGATAGTGCTCACGTGCACTTGCCCAGACCTTCCATTCCGGTAGGCCAAAGTCTCGATTGAGAATCTCGGCCAGTGCTGCTCGTACAAAATCTCCATGTTCATAGGAGGTGGCCGCCATGGAGACTTCTGCACTCATTGAGCACCTCACCACCCGCTGAATCTTCATACTGGCCGCCTCCACCACGGTCAGATTCGCTTCGCCCTCCAGGATGTCCTTGTCGGCGATGCAAATCACCAAGCCACCTTGGCTATAGCCTCCCGGTTGTGCTCCATATGCTGCGTCACTGGCGGACACGATGATGTAGTTGCGCCAATCCTTCAGCCTCTTTACCACTTGAACAGCTGGCTGTTTGGCCCGGTACACCACCTTGTTCAGCCACTCCAAGGCCACTCTTCCTTCTCGAGCTGCCAGTTGTTGCACATGAGATACTCCATAGGACAAGTCGTATCGACCTTGTCGAGCCATCCAGTTGAGCTGTCCCAAAATGGACGACATCTGCAGCTTCTCCTCGGGTGAGATCTCCCCACTCAGGTTCTTGGCATTGCCGGTGGGCAACTTCATTTTCTGGATGTCTTTGGCGTACTCCTCCATGGCGTACTCAAACTCAAGGGTCTCCGGGTTCTGCCTCTCCCACCGGCCACAGAACTTCGTCCAGCCCTGCGTTGCCTTACGCAGTTCACCGAACTTGAGCTTCTGGTGGATCTTGTCCCAAATCTCCTGGCTGGTTTCGTCCCCACAAAAGCTCGCAGCTCTCCATCAGGGTGATAGGCCGCAAAGACTCCCGGCAGGATGTCCAACTCCTTCATGTCACGCTCCTTGAGCGTGTCCCTGTAGCATAGGTACCACAGACGTGGTGACTCCGGAAGACCAAAGCCTCCCTTGGTCAGCTGCAGCAAATCTTCTCTGTAGTTCACTCCCAGCTGCTCCAAGATGAACGCCCACACGCAGTCAGGGTAGCCCTTGGGCAAACGAATGTAGACCTCCCTCTCCTTCGGCAATGGTTTGCCCTGCAAGAAGGCACTGGACACATCCTCATAGTTCACCACCCATTGTTTTTGTACTGCAACCCAATTGATGAGATTGTGTGCCAAGAGAGCTGCAGTAGGCGCCAAAGTGGCGTACTTGCCCATGTCCGGGTCCATGTGTCCTCCCAAGATCAATCTTGCCTTGAGGATCGCTTCCTTCAACTCTGGGCCACCCTTGTTCGTCAGCACAAAACGTGTGGATAATATCCACTTTGGATTGATCACCTTGTCCTTGGGTACACCAGCAAGAGCATCATGGTCAAAGTAGATCTTCACAGCCTTCACCAAAGGCTGTTCATATGCTTTCTTCCACTCCTCATTGAGCTGTGACCATTGATACTCCAATCTCGCCTTGCCGGTGACGATCTTGCCCTGAGCCAGATCTGCTCTGTGTTGGAAAACCTTGCTCTCAATCTTGCTATTCATCTTCTTGAGATCCTTCGCTTTCACGGCAGGAGAGTTCCAAAACGCCTCCTGCTCCTCCATCTCTTTGCATGCTTCATGCCACAGAACTTCGTGATGATCAGGCTCCAACACTTCGGTCAGCAGCACTACACTGCCCATCGACTGCTCTTCAGCACGTTGCTGTCGTGCCTGAGGTGTCATAGGTGCCCGACGATGCTTGCTGATGATTTTCCGAATGTTCTTCACCTGTCTGCCTGCCAAAGTCATGCCACTTCTCACACGCGCCTCTGTCAAAGTGGAAGGCAACCCACCTTCACGTCTGCCTTGTTCAAATAGGGCTTTCTTCTCTGGAAACTTCAAACGGCTAGGCTCCACTTCTTCAGCAGGAACTTGAGGCGCTTCTGACATCTCTGCATCATCCTCCATCAGAAGGTCCCTTCTCTCACCGTCATCAAGCCTTCTCACAAGGACTCGGCTGCTCTGACTGGAGCTGGACAATGCCCCTTGCCGTATGGAGTCCGGCACGTCATTCATGATCTCCATTCGGCGCACCCGACGCAGACGTTCTTGCACCTGCGTGTCATCCAGCATCTCCATATTGCCTTCCTCCTCCACGTTGGGTGTCGCATGTGCCCTGTCAGGTAAAGCTTGTCTTGGTTGGTTCTGATCTTCTTCAAGCCGCAAATTGCCCTTCTTGATTTCGTCCTGCATCTCCTCCAAGATCTGCACGATGAACTGCGAACCCAACATCTCATCCGGAGTTGCCAGTCTCAGTTTCTCCAATGGATAACTTCGCACCTTTCCTCTGATGCGAACCCACACCCTATTGGGCACATTCTGTTGTCTCTCCCCGCAAACCACCAAACCTGGACCATCCCAGCTGGAGTGATCTTGAAGACGTCGATGTTGGCCACGTCGGTTGGGCGGTGGCTCGTGCACATACACCGTGGTGCCTTCGAAGATACACTCCAATTTTGGCGGCCGAGAGCGTCGATTCATGGCTTCCCTGATGACCTGGTTGGAATCGATCCAGTTGTAGCTGTCAATGGCTGCCGCTCGGATACGTTCTGCTCGTCGAAGGGCATCACGTAGTTCCAACTCCTCATTCAGCGCAAACTTCACCTGGCCACTGCAGAGTTGCTCCATGACTGACACTGGAACCGTGGTGTTCTTCCCGGTGACAGCTTGCAGAGGGGACATTCCTGCTTTGTTGCATAAGCGGTTCTTGGCATTGAAGCAGCTCGTTGCCACCAACTTGATCTCCTCCAGTCCCGCTGCTTGTTGGGTTGAGATCACCCGCATCATCATCAGTTTGATGATTGCACCATGGCGCTCCACTTGGCCCTGCCTCCACTTTGCACCTGGAGGCACCACCTCGTGCCGGAAGTCCAGCAACCTGCTCACCCGTTGCACCACATCCGCATACTCTTTGCCTCCATCAGTCTGCAACACCTCCGGGGGCCCCAGCACTGCGCACCAGCGATTCTGCAAAAGTTCTGTGGTGACGTCGGCTCCCACCTGTTTGCTGACCAAGCCCATATGGTACTCCGTCAAGCCGTCAATCATGTGAGTGACATTGAATCTTTCGCCCTTGACATCCCACACGAAAAAGGAGTCCGACAACACCCGTTCTCCAAATCTGGTCGGTCGTGTGGCTGCCACCTTCGGTTCAGCTCCAGGAGGACGCACTGCTTGGCAGATCTGACATCGCAGCCCTTTTGCTATCTCCACCACTTGACTGCTGCAGCCGCTGATCATGAGCATCCTCACCAACCGCTCCATCGAGGGGTGGCCCAACACAACATGCAAGTGAGCCAAAGCTTGCCTCATCTTGTAGGGTCCTTGTCGGGCAACTCCATCGAAGTACACGTAGTCATACTGACCACCTCTCCAATCTGCCTTTTCCAGCTGCTTCCTCAGTTCTCCTTCCGGAGTCGGCATTGGCTCCACCGGCAGAATGTAGTGAGCTTCTCCTGCTTCTCGGCCATCAGTCAGCTTTCTCGGTGCGTTTTGATCACATTTTTCCCATGCGCACTCTGCTGCACGCAAGATGTGGTCGCAAAGCTCTTCTGGCCATTTTGACGCCAAAGCTGACCGTCGCTGCCACCGCCCATTGTAGTAAACATTGCCCTCGATGGGTTGATGTTCTTCAGGGGTGTGATTGCACACAGCTCCTTCCATCAACGCTTCTCGCATGCCAGCATCATTCACATCCAGGGCCGTGTACTTCTGATGAGGTTTGCCAGAGACCGCATCCTTCAGTCCAAAGGCACACTGAGGAATCTTGGCCCGGTGCAAGTTGGGGCGCTCCATCATGAAGTCCATGGTGAGTGCAGCCGACTGGTAAGGGTTCTCCGTCATGACCAGGCGACCGTTCCCATTCTGTTCATCCCAAACCTTCCGGCTGAATCTCCATAAAGGAATGTCTTGTTGTCGATCTTCCATCACCTTGTCAACGTTCGGATTGATACGTTGCATCTGGCTCCATGGACCGCATCTTGGACTCAGAGTGACCAAATCTGGCTTGAGTTCTTTGATTCGGTCTAAGATCTCCTTCTGCGTGACCGGATTCTTCAGGTCATACCCGTAAAGGATGTCAATCGGCTCCATCGCTCGCCATCCCTCACGCACTGATGCCCTCGCCGTCAGTCTCGCGCATCCAGCGAAGATCTCCATGACGATGTAGTACGGTCTTGCCCCAGCCAACGTAGTGACCAATGCCTGTTGAGCACACACTTCACCCATGCCCTTCTTGAGCTTCTGGATCATCCCTCGCTGAGGTGCAACTCGGTGCCAGTCTTCTTCCCGGTGAAGTCCGAAGATCGCAGCCTCTGCCTCATTGCTCCGAAATGCCCCCAGGTCGACGCCACTTCCGTGCTCAGTAAGGGGTTGAGCCACCTCACATTGCGTTTCCATGTTGCCTTGCCCTTGGACTCCACCCGGATGGCCTCCTTCACGCGCAACTGCCACACCACCTTCTTCCAAAGGTAAGTTCTCATCCTTGACTGAAAGCACTTCAGGATGTTGCATGCCAAATCGTCGCTCCACACATTGCTCAGCGACGGATATCGCGACTCCCACCCTGTGAGTGCCGCCGTCGCCATCTTCTTCTTGGCCTTCTCCTCCTCCTTCTCCCGGTGCTTGTAGACCATCTGCAACTCCTGCATGGTGAGCCCTTGGATCGCCTCTGTCTCCACAATGCGCTGATCTGGACCTTCCTCTTCTGAAGGGGGCAAGCCTCTGTTGATTCTGCTCGACCTCTTTGTTGTCGATGTCTTCTCCTTCAGCTCTGTGGGCGTAGAGCTCGACCTGGCTGTCTCTTCTCCCCGGATGGCTGCTGCCCGGGCTGCGGGACCGCGACCGCGTCCCTTGGCTGGTCGGTCCACTTCCATCGATGTGGGAGGCTCCTTTCTCGCAGCTTGTCGTGGTTCTTCCTGGCGCTGAAGATGCTCCACCTCCTGAAAGCTGTCGCCAGTTTGGGATTCCAGCTCCACCACAGACTCGGGATCCGACAAGTTCGGACACTGTCGAGTCCGATGACCCACAATGCCGCACATCCGACATAGGGGCGGGTTCACCACAGACATGCGAGGCACGGTGGGCTGTCTCGAATTGTTGTTTCTCGGAGCCAAACACTTCGCATTCATGGACTGCATGCGGCACCAAGCCAACTTCTTGATGATGCTCCATCGAAAATTCATGCTCTGCCTCACCTGCCTCTTCGATCACATGAAACTCATCTATAGGAACCGTGTAGTGCCCCGCCCTAGTCTCACTGAGTCCATAGTTCTTCACATGCAGCTTCCTAGAAGACATGGTATGATGTTCTGTGTCAAGTTGAACTCCAAGTTGTGTATGTGATTGTTTGGACAAGAGTGGAGGACAAGGACCGGGAACAACGCTAAAGGCCAACAACACCATCTTTCCACCAAAAGTTGCTTGAAGTTGTAGACGATATTTGCTCCTTAAGGTATTGCCATCCCCAAACCTGAACACCTCGTCCTCTTCCAAAACCCGAAACCATCGCTGTTGTTGTTGCCACTCCGAAACCACATCATTGGCCCATTGAACACCCACCACATTCCTCATGCAGCCTAGATCAAGAATGACTTTTCTGGACAACTCCTTCATGTTCCACCATGCTTCAAACGGTACTACAGGAGTTTCATGTTTCTTGGTGGTGGCTCCCATCTCTTCCCCGCAAACTGCCCTATGCACCATGTATACTGCCCTTTCAGAAGAATCTGCGCTCAGGCTGTCTTTGCAGAGTGACTCCAACAAGCCCCATTCAGTCTCCTTGTCAGACTCCAGCTTGTGAGCCGTAACCAAAACGGGATTCGGAGAGGCTGCAAGTGCTGCCTTCACCTTTGGGCAATCCCGAGCAAAATGCCCAGGTTCGTCACAAACGAAACACTTGCCACCCTTGGAGGTTTTCTTGGTGTCTCCTTCGGACTTCCGATAGTAGTTTCTCATCTTTCGTGCCTCGGCCATCTTCTGCTTTGCCCTGAACTGCAACGCCAGGGCTTCATGTTCTGCATGTAAAACGTCACTTGGCAGCTGAGGATCGCACTCATCCACACTGTCATCTCCTGCTGGATCTTCTGGAATGCCCTCCAAAGACACATTGGTCTCTGTCTCCACTTCATTCATTTCAGCCACCAAAGCCGCCTTGTCACGCCTGTTGAAACGCAAGCCCATTACTCCTCTTTGGACCAAGTGCTCTTCACCTTGCGCTCCACTCAACTGAGCTTCGGCCTGACCAATCGGATAGCCCTGCTCGCCCTCCAATTCACTGGACAACTCCATCATTGCTCCCGTGATCGAGACTTCATCTTCATCTCCTGCATGTGTTTTGATCATCGCCTTGTCTCGGCGCGTCAACCTTGCATGATCTATCAAGTGTCCCACAAAAAACCTTTCTCCCATGCTCAGAGCTGCATCTAGTCCTTCAAGTTGTGCTCGATAAAGTCCAGCTCGTGTGATGTAGCTTTCCAAGCTCTCACCGGCCACCCGAGACAAGGTGAGAAGTCTCTTCCGGTGCCAATCCACTCTATGCTTCTCGCTCTGTTTGATGAGCGGACTCTTTTCCAACGTCTCAAAGATCCGCTGGAGCCCATCTTTCTGACTCACATCTTCCGGCTCCAGATGTTTGACGAGTTGTGCTGCTCGGTCACGTAGCTGCACCATGACCCTAGAGCCAACCAAGCCTGTGGGAAGTTGTTGTCCTTCACCATGTAGCCAAAACTTGACAGATCTCTTCCAGTCTCGATAATTTTCACCTTGTCGAGCTCGAAAAACTGGGGGATAGCTATTGGAGACCTTGCCCGAAAGCTTTTTCTCTTCTTCTTTGTCTGCTCTCTCTTGCACGCTAGTGATTTTGCCACTCGGTAAATCACCTTTAGGTCGATCTTCTCCTTCGGATTCTCCCGAATGATCAGGTTGTTCTGAACCTTTACCTTGACCTTGTGCTGAACGTCGAACTTCTCCCTGACCAGGTGCATGTTCTCGCCAGCTGCCATGCCACTGATGCCATGGATCTGAATGCTCCCAATACCCTCCAGGCTCTCTACGCGTCACATACGCCCAGTTTTCACGACTGCCGGACGATGAACCGTCCCAAGAATCCCATGACCAACAGTCTCCCTTCCACCATGACGATTGTGACCCCTCCCCGGAGGCATTGGATGCCATTTCAAACCATTCAGTGTTCACCTCTTCTCTCTGTCTCCTACCACCTACGCTCCACTGTGACCAGCCCGAAGTTTCACTTCTTCTGCTACTTTCTTCAGAGGGACCTTCGAAGCTATCTATCTCTACCCCATAGGTGGCCCACGCGTCCCCATAGTATGAGCTCATACTGATACCAGTCGCAGCAACCCTGTTCCGCGGCCCAAGCCAAAGAAACCCAAGAACCTCCACAAGGCCCTCGCCAATGAGGATGCCAAAGACTTCCCCTTTGCCTCGAGCACTGACCCTCAGTGCTCGCCCTGGATCTCCACAACCTAGGCTCCGGTGCCAGTGAAATGTTGCCAACGCCCTCAAAAAGCAAGCGCCATGTCCCTTTTCCACAGGGTCCGCGACTGGTAGCCAAATGGCTGTCGGGTCTCGCAAAAATGAATTGAGGCTGCACCAAGTATCTTCAGGGTTGAATATGCCCTATCTTCACACTTATATATACTTATATAAATCTAGAATCGATTTGTCGAAAAAACAGTCAAACACGTTTCTCTCGGCTGAAACCTCAGCCACATTGTAGGAGTTGAGATTTGAGTCAAGATCATTGTTTCTTACCAGTTCTAAAATTCACCAAGAGATGTTCATGGTGCCATCATATCCGCAAATGCGAGAGTCTGCGGGAGGCAATGTATCCAATCCAAGATGCAGGAGCTCTGTCCAAGCATGCATCCCGGAATTGCTGAAGAGGTGCACCTGACGAAACACCCCTGTTTAACAGGTCCTCTTCAGAAACAGGCACCCAAAACAACCCGAGGGCTGTCGTCATTTCTTGGGCCGTACAGCTGGAGCTACCCACCAGCAATTTTGGGTCAGCCGAAGAGAGCGACCATGCATCTGCAGCAGCACGAATCCCCTGCGCACCTGACCATGGTGCAAATCATAAGGGGCGGAAGGAGCTGCGATGGGCTGCCGAAAGGCATCTTGCAAGCAAGGGGCATTGGCACCGGAGACCAAAACCTTACCAACATGGCATCTGTTGGATGCATATGTTCCGTATTTTCCTTATGGTCAGGTCAGTTGCAGGTCAGTTGCAAAGACTCACCAAGGAGCTTTGCTGTCAAGGAGCTTTGCTTCTGGTTGCTGGTGGAGATAAATATGGTGCAGCCGGGAAAAATCTCTCCTGAGGATCTTGCCGTCGATGACTTCACCGAATCACTACATCAATCTGCATGACGAGCTGCTGTACCACTCCACCAGATCTTGCATGTCCTGCGCCATCATGAAAACCACCGTTGGCTTCAACGACACATCATCCATAGAGCCATAGAGTCATACCTCTCCAGCTTTCCTCAAAGTTATTATGATTGAAATTATAACGTGCACTCCGGTTGCAATCACATTTCACCATGCCCTACATTTCTTAGTGTAGAATGTGCAAGTGCGGTCCGAAAGATGGCCACCTCCCCATGCCAGCAAGAAAACCACCTGCACAGTCACGGCTGACCTAAACATAAGACATCGTAAGAGTGCCCTAAAAAGTCTCTAGAGCATCTACCACACTGTGCAATTCCATGCCGTGTCATCATCATTTTTTGCTGAGCTCATTGGCTCGGACCATCGCTCAATCATCACTCCAGATCAGAAACCAATTTGCGATCTGCAAGTTGAACTTCGCTTTCATCGTCCTCCTCCTCTACAAGGTACGCCCACAGGCACATCGCACAAGCCACCAACAAAAGTAGAAGTCCAACTACTCCCAAACAAATGGCAAGAAAGTGAATGTTTCCCTCACTTGGCAGGTCAAATTGAGATGCTGGAGATGATCGTGGGGAAGACACCTGCGCTATCAACAACTGCCCTGTCTCAGCTTTTGGAGTTCTGTAGTGGTATTCGGGGCACGCCGACTCCGCAATCCCCAGCTGGGATTTGGAGGTGTCGAAAACAACTGTCTTGTGCAGAAAGAAGGAGGTGCCAAGCACTGTTGTGTGACTCATTTTGTTGTCAGCGAAGGCAAAGCACCATTCGTTCTCATCGTTGTGTCTTCTGAACATGTACGCCTCTGGTTGCCAAATGAAAGTAGTTTGAGCATCGCCCACTGCAACAGTTATGTTTGGGAACTGGCGAGGCTTTGTTCCAGTCAAGAGCTTCCAGCACGTCTGATAAGTGTGAGGCACGGGACTTGCACCGCAGTTGATCCCAACGCATTGGGTCTTCAAGGCAGTTATCAATGTATAGTAGGTCTGATGTGGAAAATATGAAAAGGTGGTGCCTGTGTCCAGAATCGTGGTGCCAAAATCTGACTCGGCACCAACGACTTGAGCTCCACATCGGATTTCTGTCAAATGTATCCCAAAATACCCAATGTGGTGCAATGGCATCCACAGCAATGTGAAACCAGGCAGGATGAAGCTGCCGTCATAACCACCCACAGTCCATAAGCCGCCCCATTCTGCCAGGCAGAGCGAAAACACCGCATGGTTCACATGTTTCTTGTCTTGGTAAAGTTCTTCCAGAAGATTGGACGCTCCTGTTATCTTGTGAGGTGCCAGACCCAGAATTCCATTGACCTTCTGTGTGTAGAAGAGGTGCCTTTCATCAGTGTGGCACCCAAGAGAGACACGGACTGGCTTGTTGTCTTTGTCTGAACCATTCAGCTTGAACCAAGTTCCAGCAATCCGGCTGCCTTCGGTGTACTCTTCAAGATAGCCACACTGGTTGTTAGTGCACCGATCACAGCCAATGCCACAGGGTAGCACCTGGCTGGTGTTTGATGCATTTCGATCAAAAGGTAGATCCAAGTGCTTGCCGCAATGAGAGCAACCGACACAGGGGAAGGCGCA